TTTCACACTCTTGCATTAGATTTAGCCTGGTCTCCAGAGGATGTCATCCATAAAAATTACTTGGTGTGGTCTAACTGTTTTATTGTCCTACAGTTGACATGCTGGACAACCCCAGCAGCCTGTTAGCGTCAGCAGCCTGCACTGCCCTGGGGGAGATTGCCAGGAACGGGCCACTACCACTGCCCACAGGAGGGGTGGGCAAGGGCAAGGGGAAGAACCCCAACCCCTGCACCAAACTGGCCATCGTGGACAAACTAGTGGCCAGAGTCAAGTCAAGCAAGGACTCCAATAAGGTAGACAAAGTGTGGTGATTTTTTGCTAAAGCCACACCAATTTGATAAGTTGGTTCTCATATTTTTTCAGGAAAAGTATGAAAAGACAGGGTAAAAAAATAACAAAAAACAGGCCTATGATGCTATGATAAGAGCCATAAAGTCAAGATACTTGGTGGTTTGTATTTAAACTGCATTGATAGACAGAAAAACTGTAACAACTCTGAACAGAAGGGACTTCTTTCAACTGTTAGGGCCCAAATATAAGCATTTTGGAGTTGTTTCAGAGCCTAAAATGTTTTTTTTTTTTTGCAAATCAGGAAAAACAAAGCGGACAAATTGCGGAACCAACAATTTAAATTTGTGTGGCCTAAGGTGAACTTTCGTTATGTGCTAACTGGTCCCTAAATTAAGATTGCTAGGTAGTGTAGTTACCATTTCTGGTAGATACATTATTGCAATGTACATTTGTGGTGAGTTGTGGATTTTCCATGTATTTCCCAGCTGAAAGAACGTCTGTGCCAGACCCTGGGTTATCTGCCGGTGGGAGACCCTGAGTTCCAGCACCAGAGAGCAGTGCTGCAGGGCCTGTTGGAGGCTGCTGAGGTCAGTGACATGGAAGCTTTGCTCTTCTCATATCAGTGTTTCAGATGAGAACAGTTGAATAATTAGATTAAGGCCATACTGATTTAATTTCATGGATGACATCCACATCCACACGCATTGATTTTCACCAGTTGAAAAAAAAAATCACCTCCAAGGCTCTGGCCTGGGTGCCATCCTCTGTAGTCCATGGTAGCTAAGGACAATAGGGAGCCGAGGATGATGACGATGGCACCCATGCTACTGAAGCTCCACAGAACTCAAGAACTCAGTACATTGCCGACTCAAAAAAATTGCTGCAAAAGGCCAGCATAAAAGTTGCTAATACTGGTAGTATGTAATACTGCAAATTTACCATTCCAACCTCTGTATTTCTATGGCTTAGCATTACTTTTTTTCAGGCTGAATTTTTTTTTATTCACCTGCGCACACTAGTTTGGGGGGTCTTCAGAAGATGTCATCAATGATATTAAGCCAGTGTGGCCTAAGGGATAGATGAAAAACTTAAATTACTGCAAGAACACCTTTTCTTCCCCATTGTGAAATGACATCCTTGTAAAAAAATAAAAGAGTTGACAGCAGTGTGTGGTATTTTCCAGGTGCGAGCCCCAGAGCTCCACTTCACAGTAGGCGAGGCGCTGGCATGTGCAGCCCTGGGCCCCCGGTCAGGGGCAGGCAGGGACATGTGGACTGAGGAGGATAAGGAGTACAACTGTGAGGCAGGAGGAGGGAGAGGGAAGGATGAGATGGCATGGATGGTGGGGGTTGTTCTGGAGAAGTACAGTCAGGACCCTAAACCATGGATCAGACAGGTAAGGCCTTGTTTGGTGTTCTAATTTGTTGCTGTTAGCATCCTTTTTATCTTGATGTTTTTCATCTTGGTTAATATTACAGAGGTTCACAATTTTCTGTCTCAAATCCAAAAGACAGATTGTTGTGGATAAGTATAAAGACTTTGGACGAAATTTTCATAATGAGCTGGAAGTAGTTTTACTGAACTTCAGCGTACATAGGAGTTACAAATCTGTTACGCCAAAAAGCAATTACTCAAGCAACTGGATATGATTTTGGAAATGGTCAGACGTTTCAGCCAGTATCCACTAGCTTTCGTCAGTGACTGGGCAACAAATCTGTTGCCTAAAACCTGTTCTGAATTTCATTTATAAGACAGTGCCTCGAACATTGGTCCAAAATGGCACAGCTGTGTGTATGTCTGAGTATAATGTTGACACTTTTCACACTGTATAGTCTGCTGGGATTTGGCTTCTTTCACTGGTCAAAAAGGCAGGAGAACACCAAGTGATACAGGTATGAATTCATCTATACATGCATGACACATTGGGTCCATATTATTGTGCTCTTTTGTACATTCTTGTTAGTTGTTTCTTGACCTGTTACAGAAATGATCCATGTAACTTGTTTTCTTCAGGGTCGACTGAAAGAGATTCAGAACATCTTCTTGAACCTACTGTCAGAGCCAGATGGTAAGGCTTATCTATACAGAAGCACACTTCATAAACTTGTTAAGAATGATACAATTTTCACGATTAAATATGAAATTCACAACAACATTAAATACCTCACAGAGGTGTGAAATTTTTAATTTCTTTCTCCAAGGCCACACCAATTTAATTTCTTGGTTAACGGATTCGCCCGCTTCATTTTTTTCTGATTTGCAAATTAAAATAAAAATTCAGAATCAACTGCAAAATGTTTATATCTTGCCCTGAACAGTTTAAAACAGACCTTTTCATCCTAGTTGTTACAGTATTCCATCTTTCAATGCAACGGCATCATTAAAAGTTCAAAATTCATTGTTTAAATTTTGAATCAGCCTGGTGTGTTGACTTCATGGCTCCTATCGTACCATTTTGGGCGATAACAGGATGCCTAGGCCTGTTTTTTTTTTTTTGCCCGCCTGCTCCATTATTTTTCTAGAAAAATCCGTTAACCAAGAAATTAAATTGGTGTGGCCTAAGGTAACAGTACTCAACTGGAATCTGATATATTTTGAAAACATTCTTATGTTTCAGGTAGTGTCCAGTACCTTTCATCACTACATTTCTTACATGTTGACTTGAGTCTTTTGTGTTCTGTCTTTTCCAGACCTGACCCAGGATGTGGGGTCTAAAGGCCTGGGGCTGGTGTATGAGCGGGGAGGGAGTGCACACAGGGATGAACTAGTGGCACTGCTGGTAGACACACTCATGTCAGGGAGAAGGTAAGAACATTAACCCTGTCCTGCTGTGAGCCTACATCTATACATCTGTATCTGTACTGGTTAGAACACAAGTGAAAGGGTTACTATATGAAATATAGTGTATATGAAATAGCAAAATAAGCTTGTCAGTACTAAGGCCGTGTCACCAAGTAAATTTTATGGATGACGTCCTTTGGAGACCCTAAATCTAATGCAAGAGGGCGAAAAAAAAACAAGAAGGGCCCTAAAAAACAAGATGCCTAGATTAGAAATATTGCACTGCTGACAGGACCATCCTGTCTGTTAATAGTTCCAAAAACAGCACTGTTTTGGAACTATTGACAGGATTTTTTAAAGTGCCATTTTGTGTTTTTTTTTTTCATTTTTGTTTTCATTTTTTTTAACCAGGCACAGGCTTTCGGCGTTACGGGTTTCACGTCAATCTGACGATTTGCGGCATTGTCGTGACTCTTTGGTCATAGTTACAGGAAGCGGAATTTCTTGTTTTATTTTTCTAGGAACAGGCCAAAATCAATGCGTGCGCGGACGTCATCCATAAAATTTACTTGGTGTGGCCTTATGAAAAACTTTATTTTAAATTTTTGCTGTGTTGCTTGTTTTTATCATGCTTGCATGACTGGGATTGTAACTGTTTGTTTGAAGTTTGAAGTATGCAGTGCTTGACTGTTGTTGTTTGTTCCAGATCTGCCCAGCATGTAACAGGAGAGACAGCAGTGTTCCAGTCTGGGGAACTGGGAAGAACACCCGGCGGGTGGGTACAGCTTCACACAATTTCAATCCCTTAGTTAGTTTTTGACTTCATGTTACAGTTTTACAATGTGTATACATTCAAAGTACAACGTCATGTTAACTTCTTTTATTTTCACTTTGTGAAATTTGGAAATCACTCAGATTTCTAAGGGGTTTGTTAAGTTGACTCTTAAAACTTGAACATTCATCCATGTTGGTAGAAGTCATGCTGAAGCAGGTTTGAACTGTTACAAAATTTGCACTTTAGACTCGACTTGAACAGTGAAAGATGTGGGTAAGTCCAATTTCATGTGTTCTAACCTGTTTCTACAGTTCAAATCTGTTTCAGAGTTGACTCTTGTACTAAAAATTCGGATACACCTTGTACACAAGTTGTCATTGAGAATCAGATGAAAGTAATGGATATATGTCTACACTGTTGACAGGGAGAGCATGTCCACCTACAAGGAGCTGTGTTCCCTGGCCAGTGACCTGAATCAGCCTGACCTCATCTACAAGTTCATGAACTTGGCCAACCACAACGCCATGTGGAACTCCAAGAAGGTGGGCAGCTTCTCACGCCTAAAACTTTACCATTCAAGTGTCTTGAAAACATTGGCTCAGATTAGCAATTTGGTTATTAAAAGGTCTTAATACTAATAGAAGTCTTGAAGGTATATTAAGATATTGTAGATGGTTTGATTCAAAACTCGAACTATTGAGATGCACCAATGGTTTTCTTGAAGCCATGTATAACTGTCTAATAAAAAGAAACGATGAAAGAAACAATATATACTAGACAGCCATCCTATAATATACTTAAAATGTATTTATTTATTTTGTATATATGGATATTTTGTATCCATATTAAATGGATGACAAGTGACTGTAGCCATTTGTATATTTTAATCATAACACTTGCCAGTAGATACAGTACATGTATAGCCTGAAAGACTGATGTATGTACATGTAGTTAAACTCTGATCTGCCTGTCCCAGGGAGCTGCATTTGGCTTCAGTACCATCGCCCTGCAGGCTGGTGAACAGCTGACTCCGTACCTGCCCAAAATCATCCCCCGCCTCTACCGCTACCAGTTTGACCCCAACCCGAACATTCGCCAGTCCATGACCAGCATCTGGAGTGCACTGGTGCCAGAGACCAGGAAAACTGTAAGTACTGTACCTCAGATGACTTCTCATTAGCGCTCCCTTGCAGATGGGCTTGGAACTGCAGTTGCCATGATACTCGATACATTTGTTGTAGGTGACTTATGATTTTGATGTCGTAACTGCCAACATGGATCTAAGATAGCTTTTTCCATGACAATACATCTGGATTTTGTATGGCATATGCAAGACTATCCCGAGGATGTCCCCAGATTGTGACCGTACTATGATCATGCTATGAATGTGACCAGAACCTAAATTGTGTCCTCTAGTATACAATTTGCGAGGTAGGACATCATTCTTCTGGGTACAACAGAAAGCCGTTGAAGGTGATCTGTCTGTCGATGTTACCGTAGATAGCGAACCTCTCCCCGCGGTGCAGCCTGAGCCACACGGTCTCCCCCCGCTTCAGTTCCAACACCACGCTCTGACTCTGCATGATCCGACGCGGCACGGCATTGGCGTACAACGTCACCTGACTCTCCTCCCCCTTCATCAACTGTACCCCCATGAACTTCTCAAAATAAGACTGGACCGTGTACACGAAGTAGTACATCCCCGCAACGCGGCAACGGAATAACCCTTCGTCCGGGGAAAAGTCCTCAGCGTAGTTCGCAAACACCTTGTCGAATGTGATTCGTTGGTGGGATTCGTTCCGTCCCAGGAGTGGGTTGCTACGAGCAACGGAAAAAACTGCTTTTTCGGGAGTTGGGGCGGGGTCACCCTTTTCACCTTTGTTGCCTTTCACCCCTTGGGGACCAGGTGGGCCTGGAAGAAGATGTAACAGAATGTAATACAAGCATCAAGTTTGAAAAATCTCATGAATTTCTGTAATTTTGGGGTAATGGCCTTAGCTCATTCAGATAAGGATGTGATTAAATTTTTTTAGCTTTATAAAAAACTTTTTGAATTGCAGACTCATACTTTCACTTTCATAAAACTGTAACCATAGTAGTTTAAACACTCCTACATTTCATTGCTTACCTTTGAAGTCAGACTTAAAAAGACATCCAAAAAAAATAGCCAATCACTATACCACACAAGGAAGCAGTGTTCTCACCTGTGTCACCTGAAGCTCCAGGTGGCCCAATATCACCTGTATCACCTGGCTCTCCTTTGTCTCCCTGTGGGCCGGGATCACCTGTGTGACGAGGATGAAGTTTAACAGGTGACAAGGGTGAAATATAGGTAGAACATTTCTTATAAAATGGATATCAATGTACTGTATACCTTATATTTACATATGTACAACATTGTCTAGAGCGAGAATGACTCCCATGCCTAGCTAAAAATTATGTAAATTAAGGCCACACCAATTTAATTTGTTGGTTCTCGGATTTTTTCAGAAAAAATATGAAGCGACAGGGCGAAAAATAAATAAAAATAAAAACAGGTCTAGGCATCCCATTATAGGCTTAAATGCCACGGAATGAGCCATGAAGTCAACACAAAAGGCTGGGTTAAAATTTAAACATTGAATTTTGAACTTTTAATCAAACCACTGCAATGATAGATGGGAAAACTGTAACATCTAGGAAGAAAAGGACTTTCCTCAACTGTTGGGGGCAAAATATGAGCATTTTTCAGTTGATTCAGGACCAGAATCAAATTTTTTTTTTTTTTGCAAATCAGAAAAAAACGAAGAGGCGAATCCGAGAACCAACAAATTAAATTGGTGTGGCCTAAGTACAACTTCAAGAACAGGTAGACATACATGTAATTCAAAATCAGGTGCTTTTCTTTCCACCCATTCAACACGGCTGTTGTACTATTTTTCACACATACAGCAAAATTAGTTTACAATTGTGACTATATATTGAAGGATTACAGGGGCTTATGTTCTATATCAATATTCAATAAACTCCCACATGTTGAACATACCTTTTGGTCCTTGCATGAGAGCGTAAGCGATGGGAGGTGACACCACATCATCACAACACAACCCACAGGTGTCACTGTCTCCTAGTGTCATGTGGGGAGACAAACAATACAAAACTACCAACAGCCTTAACATACTTATCAACTGCACCATCTTTATGCCAAGGGCTTGGAGGGACATACATGTACTGCAATACTCTTCTAAAAAATGGAATAGTCTATCAAGTTCAAGAAATGTTTTTAAAATGTACCATAATAAAGGAAAAACCTTTGTATTTAGACAGAAGTTTCACAAAAGTATACTTGATTTTTACGTGAACTTGACTTCTAAGGACGGTTGTACTTTGAGATAGGTGAAATCATTGTTTTGCAAAGTACATTTTATTCTAACCACTGTCCCTCCCCTGTAAGGATAGGAAATGGAACGTTCCAGGCTATTGTTGCCTCCCATTCTCTCGGTATTGTACATCCTGGTTCTAAGTGGTAATCTAACAACAGTTGAGAAAACAGTTGGAAGTTCTGGAATAAACCACTGAAATGGAGGGGGAAGCATCGTAAACAGTTGAGTTCCAATCTTCCTACATGTATATTCAAAGTTAGCATGCTCCTTGATGCAGTAGAAAGCTTTTCGTTGCTCATGAGCGCTCCCTTGCAGGTGGGCTTGGAACTGCAGTTGAGATGACACAATTTGTACCTAGTACATGTAACGCTACCTTGTGATCTGTTAGCTTGACTATGCATATAATGTACATTTTGTAGGTAGAAGATTTAACCTAGTATCCTTATATATCTAGAAGAATATGAATGTATGTTTTACTACTTTTTAGTGAATATTTTAAAATCCCTTACTGTTTTTTAAATTAGATTGACAAGTACATGAAGGAGATTCTGGAAGACCTGCAGACCAACCTGACCAACAGTCAGTGGAGAGTCAGGGAGTCAAGGTATGTAGAGTTTTTGTATTTCATTGGACATACAATTACCTGAGTGTATTACTCAACATTGTAAACGTAAACAATTATCATTGCTTTTTTACCTAAATTTGAAGCTGTAAACTCATTAGATTGAGTTAATTGCAAGTGAAAGATCAGTTAAAATGGTTAAGTTTAACGACTTCGTCTCTTCCCAGCTGCATGGCCCTGAATGATCTCTTGCGAGGACGACAGTTGGAGGAAGCCATCATAGAGGCCTTGCCAGCACTCTGGGAGACTTGCCTTAAAGTTAGGGATGACATTAAGGTGAGATCTTTTGTTACTGTACAATGTGTACTTGTAGGATGTTTGGTTTGATTATAGAACTCCTTATGATCACTTATTGTGTTATTTCAGGTGTTGTGAAGAAAAATATCAGCTTTGACAAAGTCACAAAATAAAATTCTTTGTAAGGCAAGATATTTCTGCTTGTTCCTGTAGGAATCTGTGCGGAATGCTGCTGAGAAAGCCTGCCAGGGACTGATGAGGGTAAGATTTCTATTTTGTCACAGCACTACCATACTTTTGACCATACTTTTTACAAAATGTATTGCTTAAGGTTGTGTTATCCTGTCTGTAGTTTTCAATTGATGTGTCAGAAAAGATATCTTATGCCATGAACAAAATTCTGAATGCAATGTTGACAGGGGTCGAAATTCATTTTTCTAATTAGGTGCACCAAATATATTCTGGTTGAAACATAAAAGTTGAAACAAAAAATATTAGCAATACCAACTTACCAACCTTACTGCTCCTTGTCAAGTTAAACTCAAACTGAAACTCAAGTAATAAATCAAATATTTTCATTTTTTTGACACACCTCAAGGCTCGAAATTAACATTGTCCCAGTGTCAAATGACACTAAATTTTCAGCTTGGGACAATTCAAATTACGTTTCGGGACAATTTTGGGGCAATTGGAAAATTCTAAGACCATCCACGTCATTTGGGAACGCGATCCATCCATCCTGCTGCAGACTGCTGGCAGCCTATAAATATATAATACTCTGACAAACATTTAAATTTGATCAATCAGGGATTCCAAATATCAGGGACGGTGCCATGCCCATGATATTATCATGTATTTCCCTACATTTACTAATAAAGTGGACTTCAAGTTGTACAAATTCAGTTGTTGTTTTCTTATTTTTGTCATCAACTTATTTCCTGAAAAGCAGGCTGGGACAGTCCATCTTCAGTTCGGGACAATTGAAATCTATGTTCGGGACAATTCTGGGACAATAGTGAAAAAAGTTAATTTCGAAGCCTGCGTGACCTTTGTTGGAAGTACAGTGTATTGTACTGTAGGAAATTAAAAAAAAAAATTTAGGTGCACCGGTGCACCCAAATTATGTGCACAGCTCTGATTTTAGTGCATATGCACCCACTATTTGAACCCCTGGTTGACGAAACTATGGTTTTACGTAGGTGCACTGTGTTCTACCGAGGTGCTATTTTGATCCATGTGTTACTAAAGCTTGTTGTTTAAATTTGTAACAGACATCTATAAAGGTGTGTGACCCGTCTGCGGGTAAGCTGGGTGAGAAGGCTGTGGAGCTGGTACTGCCATGTCTGATGAAGACAGGACTGGGCAGCAGTGTCAAGGAGGTCAGGGCCATCAGGTCAGTAACCTGTCTGTCAAAGGGTCAAAACTTTAAAGGATCGTTGAAGAGGTTCATTAGTCACAATGTAGATTAACAGTTAGTAGAATATTCATCAAATAGTGACTGTTTTGAAAGGTAGCAAACACGTACCTCCAAATTTTCAATGTCAAGTGACCTAGTCTCTCAAGAACATGAGACTAGGGGCCTACAATAATTTGTATTACTTCATAAAGCTCACACACATAACACTTTCAAGAATTACATGTATGTTTGCTTGCCAAAGTAAAGTGGATGCTGTTTGTATAAATGATGCCGTAAAGGCTTTTTACATGACATTGTGGTATACTGTATTCAATTAATATGGTATTTCATTATACCAGTATTAAACAGCCAGCTTTATGGCATTCCTTTCAAGACATTGCGTCCTTGGAAAATGCACTCAACATGACTTTCCTCACTCGACCATCGTGTAAAATGGGTAGTACTACCTGACTTCAGTTGTGGAGGTAAAAGGCAGTGAAAGGAGAGGGATGGGCTCTGCCTTCCAGTACTGTACCCTAGACACAGTGGATTAACAATCCATTGCCCCTATATTGCCTCAAAAGGACATGGGACCTTTTTTAGTTTAGTTTTAAGTTAGTTCTATCCAACTGATTTGATGATGTCCATATTTCAGTCTGATGACAATCCTGAAGATCAGTCAGAATGCCGGCAAGTTGCTGAAGCCTCACATCGCAGTGCTGGTGCCTGCTCTACTGGAGGCCCTGAGTGGGCTGGAGCCCCAGGCTCTCAACTACCTCAGCTTTCACGTTGGGGGAGGAGCTTCTCAGGCGGAGAAGGTGGGTGTTTATGTGAACTGTTCTAAGGCCACACCAATCTAATTTCTTGGTTAACGGATTTTTCTAGAAAAATAATGGAGCGGGCAGGCGAAAAAAATAAAAATTAAAAACAGGCCTAGGCATCCTGTTATGGTCCAAAATGGTACGATAGAAGCCATGAAGTCAACATACCAGGCTGGTTCAAAATTTAAACAATGAATTTTGAACTTTTAATGATACCATTGCATTGAAAGATAGAATAACTGTAACAAGTAGGATGAAAGGGACTGTTTTCAACTGTTCTGGGCAAAATATGAGCATTTTGCAGTTGATTCTGAATTTTTATTTGTATTTGCAAATCAGAAAAAAATGAAGGGGGTGAATCCGTTAACCAAGAAATTAAATTGGTGTGGCCTAAAGTATCATCATGTCAGTATTGGGAGAGAACTGGAAAGGTCTTGAGTCTGTGTCTACCTTCAGCACTATGAAGTAGCTAGTACAATGTACAAAATTTACTTGAATATGCTGCTTGTATACACCTAAATTGAACTGTTGTTGTAGGTTTGTCCATGGAAATAACAAGCTTTACTGCACTGTACTTCTAAGGTACATGTATTTGTATTAAATAGTGTCTCTATTTTCAATTCTTTACAGCTTGACAGTGCCAGAATAGCTGCTTCAAAAGCTTCTCCTATGATGGAAGTTGCCAACTTGGTAAGTGAACAATATCCACCTTATCTTACATTACCTTTAATTTTGTTTAATGTCATGTATCTTCTCAACAGGCAACACACAAACTTGAACTAATACAGGTGCATTTTCTGTGGATTTTCATTAAAATGTGGTACAGTGGCAGATGTTCAAAAAGAAACAACAATGACGGAAAGTATATTGTACTGTTACTAATGGAGTTCTTTTAAACAATAAACAATGAAAGTATATTTTCTGTTTACAAATTGTGAGACATGTATGATAACTGTGATCTTGTTCCCAGTGTGTACAGTACGTGGACGGAGGTGTGCTGCCAGATCTTGTTCCCAGGCTGACAGACCTGATCCGCAGCGGTGTGGGCGTGGCGACCAAGGCGGGATGTTCCAACTTCATCATCTCCCTAACTGTGCAGTGTTCTCACGAGCTGCAGCCTCATGCTGGTGAGAAACTAACTATTAGGCCACACCAATTTAATTTCTTGGTTAACGGATTTTTCTAGAAAAATAATGGAGCGGGCGGGCGAAAAAAAGAAAGAAAATAAAAACAGGCCTAGGCATCCTATTACATGTATGGCCCAAAATGGTACGATAGGAGCCATGAAGTCAACACACCAGGCTGGTTCAAAATTTAAACAATGAATTTTGAACTTTTAATGGTACCACTGCATTGAAAGATGGAATAACTGTAACAACTAGGATGAAAAGGACTGTTTTCAACTGTTCAGGGCAAAATATGAGCATTTTGCAGTTGATTCTGAATTTTTATTTTTATTTGCAAATCAGAAAAAAATGAAGCGGGCGAATCCGTTAACCAAGAAATTAGATTGGTGTGGCCTTACAGCATTCTAAATAAAGTCCTATCAAAGATGCCATTAGCTTGGCATTTGAGTGGCTAGGTGAGCAGACACAAGATCAAGAAGTCACAGGTTTCATTCCGAGCATTACTGGCTGAACATCGTGTCCCTGGGAAAGGCACTACACACGATTTTTCTCACTCTACCCAGGTGTAAAATGTTAACTGGATTTCGTTTGGGAGGTAAAAGGTGGTAGAAGCAGAGGGATGGTGACAACCTTTCAATACCATGCCCTAGACACAGTGGATTAACAACTCACTGACCCTACAGGCTCAAAAAGGCTATGGAACTACATGTACCTTATGTTTACATTGTACCCT